ACTGGCCCCGCCTCCACTGCTCACAGCCACGCCCCCGCCGCAGCAGAGTGGAGAAATGGAGCATTTCGGCTCAGCTGATCGCGGGTGTAATCTGAAGGATAAAAATATTTTTACGAAATATATTAAAATGTATTTTAAATCCTGCTGTAACTCTTATATGGATGAGAACTATATTATTATTATTATAATTACATTTTTTTAGTTCGACAATGACAAATGACTTAGTCATAATAACAAAGCATGCAACAAATGAAAGTGAAAGGAAGAAAACAAAAGCAATGAATACACATAACACGTAAGTGCAGGGACAAATATATAGATAAAATTATTATTTTGAGATATAAAACCTGTAGACTCGTCCTATTACTCTGCACTGTCATCTCTGTATATTGGTACATGTACCACTGTTTCAAGAACACCATGTACTAATATACAAAGTGTTTTAATCCTTCTAGTACTCATAGAAAGAAGCCTCAATAAACAGGGGATGTTTTCAAACTTGTTACACACCAAGATATTAGGTGTGTAGAAGGAGGTGGGCGTTACCTGTCAGGTGAGAGGGCGCGGCGCAGCAGGGGCGAGGCGGGGTCGCGGCGGGGCCAGGCGCGGCGGCCGCACTCGCGCGCTGCCAGCGGGGAGGGGCTGCGCGCCTCGCACCGGCTGCGTCCCGGCACCCGTGAGTTAGTTCACCATATTTATCGGACGACACTTTTCGTTACGACCAAGTTTATCAAGGTCAATGTACTTTAGTTATTTAAATTCATTTTTAATATTATATAATACTTTATGTAGTTCTTTGTTTTAATATTATTAACGAAAAGTTTAGTCCTTCTCAACGCGTGACAATTGTTAAACACATAACAGAGTGCATAGTACACACAAGTGTGACAAATGAGAATTTGAAAACAGTGCGAAGGCGTTGAAATTTGATATAACGATATAAATGTATATTAGTTAAACATCAAATGATAGACGGTTAGATTTTAAATGTTTATGATAATGGAAATAATTAACGCTATTAAATATTTGAATATCCATTCTCACATCAATTTTACTCTTACTAATATTATAAATGCGAATGTTTAGATGGATGGATGTTTGTTTTAAGGTATCTCCAGAACGGCTGCATGGATCTGGTTGTAATTTGGCACAGATGTAGATCATAGTCTAGAAATACACATAGGCTACTAATAAACTTTTTTTTTTAAATTCCGTACGGACATTGTGTAGGTGTGGTGAGTGTTACCTGGTGGGGGAGGCGGGCTGCGGCTGGGGGGAGGGCGAGGGCGTGCGGGCGAGTGGGGAGAGGGGCATGTGCTGGAGGGAGGCGCGCCGCACCTCGCCCGCGCCCGCGCCTACACCTGCGCCCACACCCGCGCCCAGCTTGTGCTTCAGACCGTGCAGAGACGACGGCCTGGATAACACTCTATATTACCACTCTCATTCAAAGACACTATGTACACAATCTATCTTCTTCACATTTTATTCTTATTAATAATAATGAAAAAAGTTTTGTACGTTTTTAACTAATAAACTCAAAAACTACTGAACAGATGTTAAAAATTCTTTCAGTTACAAATTGCTATATTATCCCAAAGTAACTTAAATTATGTTTTATAATAATACACCTGTACATAACCAACAAGGAACGGTGATAAGATAAGAGAAAGTTACCTCTGGTAGTGCGTGTTGGCGTGCAGCGGGCTGTCTGCTGCAGGCGAGGCGGCCGGGGACGAGGAGCATTCACCACTACCAGCCGCGGTCACCATCTGTACAAAAAAACATACCATAGACAACATTTTATAATCCAGGCCTTACTAATAGTTGCCAATTAATGACTATGAGTATGAATTTAAATATTTATTATTTGGAAGTAAGTCTGTTACCTGGTGCATCTCCTGCGATGCGCGTTTGGTAGAGATGCGACGGAACAACGAACAGCGACGCCGGGGGCGTGGCCGCGGTGGTGCGGAGGCCCGCCTACCGCCCGCACGGCGACGCCCACCCGCCTACACAACAAAATAAACAATGTATCAGGAACGTAGATACCTCTATTATTGCTGATTGTGACAGAGACAACACTATACGAAGTATTAGGATTTTAGAAGAGTATTTTTAGCTGCACTCACCTGAATTGTAGTTTGGTCTAACGGCGTAGCGCGCAGTGTGGCGTGCGGTGCAGTCAAAAGTAACTTCAACACCTAAAAAAATACATTAAATTTGATTTAAGTTACATACATGTTATAAAAATTAATACCCATGCTTAATCATTACCTTTGAATTACAATGAACCTTATTGCTTTGTGTTAAAATTAAAAATCCAACGTACCTGTGTATGCAACAGTCCCTGCACGGACTCTCCGTTGAGCTGTGTTATCAAATCACCAGCTCGCAGTCCGGCTGCCCACGCCGCGCCTTGTTCACTCACAGCCTGACAAATTAAACTTTATTTCAAGAACAATAGAGTTGACAATCTCTTCTTACAAAACATCACTTGATGCCAATGACTCAATTGGAGAAATGAACTAAACAATAAAAAAATGTAGGATAGAACGCGTTAAACCAATTGGACCATCACTTGACTCTTGTCATTTCTTTCGTTCTCTTTGATTAAAAAGGGACAACAACATAAACGTCACTGCAGTGGAAGGACAATGTTAGAAAAGGGGAGGAGTCGAGGAGGGGGGATAATAAGTAAAACTTACGGAGACGAGATGGTGCATGGTGTAGTAGTCAGAGTCGCCGTAGTAGACGCGCACTGTGTGGATCGTGAAGCCGAAGCCGCGCGGACCGCGACGTACCACGATAGGCGGCTTAGATGACTGGATCAATCTGTTATACAAAATATATTTTATGTCTAGAAAATAACTACATTATTCAATATTAAAATAAAGACTATATTTTCTAATAATTGTGCAAATTAAAAAAAGTATATATTTAGGTATGGAATTATAAAAAAGGAACGTACTTTTTTAGCCCTTTTTAAGTTCCTTACCAACACTTCACAATCACACATAAAATGGTCTGTTTAATAGATAGATTCTATCTATTCATTTAATAAAGTTTTCTTTATTCCGTGAGGTTTTTTAACAAAGTGTACATACGAATGGTTGGCGATGGCGAAGGGTGAGGGCGGGTCCCGGCAGGGGGAGGAGTCACGTGACGAGTTAGTGGAGGAGGTGTTGCCCGCACACGGCGACGCCGCCCCGCCCGCGATCGCACCACTCTCCTCTGCTGCAAACAATCATTGATCTTATGCACTACAAGATAAGAACTATTATTTTATAACCATCATTTTTACTGTACAACGCTGAGTTTAAAAATACATGGACGTTATATTTCGATCAAATGAGACTTCCTGTTGGTGTCTAAAATCAAAATCTTATTGTTTTATTATTATTCTCGTCCCTGGCTTTCATCTTTGACGAACCAAAGATAACAATATGTTTTAAACGGGAATTTTGGTCTCAGAAAACCCCAATTAATATACTTGTACGTATCAGGCCCGATGATTTTTTAACCTATAATGTATTTACCATTACATTTGTAACATTAATTTTGTCATATACCTTAGTGTCTATATAAAACCTCACCTGGATGTATAACAAGCGAGAGACCGGACGTGCTCGCGGAGCGGCGCATGGCTTTAGGCGCGACGAGTGCTATCGGCTTGGACTTCTCCGGCTTGTCCACTCTATCTGCTCCCTTCTCCTCTCGCTTTGATGTGTCCGTTCTGGAAATATCAACATTTAGTCATTATAGTCAAGTCATCAGTTAACTGCGATAGGTCCAACCCATCTTTTAGATTGAGTACATGAAGGCAATATATCATACTTTGCCCACTTTTTTAATAGAACAAAAAAAAACGATTAAAAATTTTTTTTAAACTGATTTAGTTAAACAAAATACTAACATCCTGGGCAACATGGGTGGATGCGGATGTGGGTGTGTATGTGAGTGCGCGAGGGCGTGGCCGACGTGCGAGTGGGCGTGGTGCGCGTGCGCGGCGAGGGGGGGCGGGCGCAGCGCGGCGCGGCGGCGTGCGGCCGGAGATACGTCGTCAGAGTCCGTCTGCGAGGACTCCGCTGTTGAACCACCGCCGGTACCCACCAACTGTGGACATTGAAGAATTTATGACACACATACACAATTAGAAATTGGACTGGTTACTAATGGCGCCCTTAATTTTAATTTAATTGGTAAAACTACATTAAAGGATTCCTTTAAGTAGAAAATTAAAGTCTGTAGCAAACTATTTGGCTATAAAGCATGGATGGATATGTTAAATCTAGAAAATACAATGATTTGACTAGTGTATAACACATAAACGTGTCAGTAGCAGTGAAGGTGTTGGATGTGATGAGATGGGTGCAGTACTCACGGGGCACTTGGGGTGGTGGTGGGGCGCGGTGGGCGTGGTGGGCGGGCCCGCACTGTCCGGCGTGCCCGGCCAGCTGTCCGTGCTCTGTGCGTACAAATTAAAAAATCATAAGCAAAATTAAATTTAATTCTAAAAATGAGTAAATATAACTAAGAAATACTTCTTAAAGCTCTCGAATAGTAAGCTACAGTGAATCAAACAGACAACTACTAGAATAGTACTAATTAGATTCTATTTCTGATCCAATGTTTGCTTCCTTATTGTGTCGGACCTAGATAAGCGAGAATCCAAAAGACCGCGATATTTTTCTATAAAGGCTCTTGGGTTTCTCGCTTATGGAGGTCGTCCATTAGGTCACGACAGACTCTCTTTTGTAGAGGTTTCTCGCTTTTGCAAGTTATACTAAGCGTACTCATATTTTGGTACAAAATATATCTCCAGCGATTTCTTTAGATAGATAACCAGTGTAACCGTTGGTTTCTGACACCAAAATCTCTGTATAAAACATATCGTCATCCCTGTCAGTATTTTTGATGAAACAGAAGATTTCTGTTTCAGAAACCCATGGTAAGTACGGCAGATAATTTAATAAATCTTACCCTTGAGTCGTGTGAGATGACAGAGTGAGAGTGAGAGTGAGAATGTGAGTGGTGGTAGTGTCTGCGCCACTGCGGGGAGGTGGAGGAGAATGCGGCGAAGAGGGGGTCCTCCCCCGGCTCCCCGCCCTCCCCCGCCTCGTCTGTATCTGCCTCACTGTGGTTGTAGCGATCACAGCGACCTGCATTATACAACAAATATCTCATCATCAGCTCATACGTCCCCAATAAGGGACAAAGCGTACCCTAAGTTAGTGACTAGGCCATAGACAATGCTGACTCAGTGCAGGTTGATTCCTTGTATCTTTGAATTTCTTCTCAGATATGTGCAGCATCACGATGTTTTCCTTCACAGTAAGAACGTCGGATAAATGTACATATGTAAATCGCAAAACATATTGGTATATGACGGGATTCGAACCCAGGACCTGCATTACAAGTCTAATGCTTAACCCCCGAGTCACCGAAGCTCAACTAGCCGATTGAATTTTAACTACACTTACTATCAAAGTAACTGGTATCCTCATCGTTTTCTAGTTGCGGTATAAACTCAGCCTTTCTTCGCAATAGATTGTTCCAGTCCAGGCCGTAGAAGTAGATATGATCCTATAAGGAATGATTAGTCAAACTTCTAAGTATAAGACATATCTTACTAATATTATAAATGCGAATGTTTAGATGGATGGATGGATGTATGAATATTTGTAAGAAGGTATCTCAAGAACGCCTGTACGAATCTGGCTGAAATTTGGCATAGATAGTATAGAAATGTATTGTTTTTTTTCGTGCGGATAAAATCGCGGGCGATAGCTAGTAATAAATATAGTCTATGTCACCCGGAATCGTGTAGTTTCCCAACAGTGAAAATATTTTTCTTGTGCTTATAGATTCAGTAGTTTTGAAGTCTATTCAATACAAACAAACAAACAAACAAATCTTTCTTCATCTTACTAATGTTTTGGGAAATGTATGAATGGATGGATGTTTGTTAAAAGCTATCTCCGTAACGGCTCAACGAATCTTGATATAATTTGGCATAGATGTAGAACACAGTCTGGAAGAACACATAGGCTACTTATTAAGTTTTTTTGTAATTCAGACAGACAGCTAGTATTAGTATAGTATGAATTACTTTAACTTGATGAGTGCCGCCAGTACCGAGGCGGTCGCGCGGGTTCCTGGCGAGCAGTTCCGTTATGATTGTCCTAGCTTCAATTGCAATAGGAAAATCTTCCTCCGAAGGCCACTCTATATCGTCTGGAAAAAATATTTACGTATAAAAATGATTGAAAGTAACTAAATAAAATCTAAAAAATAACTTTAAGATATAAAACAAATGCTAAATATTTAGTGAATCTTATATCAATGCTTAAGTTAAAACAGCATAAGTATATTTTAAGCAATTTCTAAGATTAGCAAACACAAAGCCACAGACATTACGACAAACGGACAAACATCAATCATTAATTTAAATAATTTAACAGTGGTAGAGCCCGCTTTAACATGTTCGCACGAATTGTCCCGGCTTGCCCGGTGAAATACCACGACCACACAGAAGACAGGCGTCAAGTGGAAGCTATTCCGCGTGCAGTCTGATGAGTGTGCGTCCCGGAGGCCTAACTTAGTCCTCTTTCCCTTCCCACCCGTTTTCTTATAAGGAAAGGATGGGAAGTGGAAGTGGACTTTCCGGATGAGAGGATGCATGGAAAGGGAAGATATTTTCTTTCTGTGCATCCTCTCCTCCGTCGATTAAAGGTAGGCAACGCTTATGCAATTGCGTATGTCTATGGGCAATGGTTACTTCGCTACTTCAGCGATTTCAGGTGGCCGCTCGCTCGTTTGCCACATTATGATATAAAATCTATGTTATTAATAAAGACTGAACGTGAGTGTGAAGTCAACCAACCCGTACTTGACCAGCGTGGTTGACTATGGCCTAACCACCCTTAACCTAGGGTAGGCTCCGAGCTCCTCCGTGGAGACGTATAGTGAGCTGATTACGATGATGATAATGAACGTGAGTTTCTCTATTTCGTCAGACAGATTTTAGGATAGTTATGACAATATCTTTTGTATAAAGATTTTAGTCTCAGAAACCATCGGTTAGACAAACAATGATATCTTAGTCAGTAAGAGGCGCCACTATCGCGGTTAGTTACCAGGGAATATATTAAAACTACACGAACATAGGAAATAATAATAAATTAAAAAAAAGATACAGTTTTTGGCATTAACAGGAGGGCGCTAGTGAGCTATTATAATTTATGTCGATTTATGCCTTACATGTAGTGCTATATTTTCCTAAACCTCAAACCATTTAGTTATGTTACAAATCAATAGATGGCGTTACCATTAACAGTATGCGCGAACAACTCCTCAGGCGTGTCTCCGAAGAACGGCACACAGCCCACCAGGAACTCGTACAGGATGATACCCATTGACCACCAGTCCACCGGCTTGCCGTAACCCTGATATACATATTATATTCAGCACTCAGAATCCTTAAGGTGATCATTTAATCTACACTAAAGGACTACTTAATTGACAAAGATTATAAAAACATGACCGTTAAAATATTATTTTAGTCATTTTTAGGGTTCCGTACATCCTAGGAAAAAACTGAACACTTATAGGTTTTTTTTCTCTTTCAATTCCTCGGTAGCTCAGGGGTTAAGCATTTGACTTATAATCTGTAGGTCCTAGATTCGATACCCGCCATATACTAATGTATTTTTCCATTTACATATATACATTTATCCGAGGTTCTTACTGTGAAGGAAAACATCGTGATGCTGCACATATCTGAGAAGAATTAACCTAGTCACTAACTTAATGTAGGCTTTGTCCCTGAATGTGGACGTATAGCGAGCTGATGATTAAAATACCTGTCTTAATATAACTTCAGGCGCGATGTACTCCGGAGTACCGCACACCTGCTTGTCGGAGAACTGACGCGCCTCGCGGTCCGCGTACTCTTCATACAAGTTTGTGGCCACTGTATCATTTCAATTTCAACTTTATACCTATTACTATACAGTTTAAAATCCGAAGGCAAAATGTTTTTGAAATCATCTCGACACGAGCTTAAAAAGTCAATTTTGTACTTTACTTACACGACATAAGGCCCATTTTGCTGAGTCCGAAATCCGTCAACTTTATATGTCCCGTCGCAGTGATGAGAAGGCTGCAACAATATATCATGTTTTAAGACAAATTTAGGCATAGGAAATACGCAAAGGCATTTATCAAGTTTCTGTGATGTGGTGTCGTGACGTGTGTGTCTTACTTGTCAGGCTTGAGGTCTCTGTGCACGATGCCGTAGGAGTGCAGATACTCGACAGCGAGCACAGCCTCGGCGAAGTAGTGACGCGCCATGTCTGGTGGGAGGGGCCCGGCGCGCAGCAGCGTGGCGCAGTCCCCGCCCTCCACGAACTCCAGGATCAGACATAGATGGCGCTTCGTCTCGAACGAACAGTACATCGTCACCTACAGAGTATCATCAAACTGATATTACAAATGCAAATGTATGTATGGATGTATATTAGAAGCTGTATCTTGCTTAAATTTGGCATAGATGTAGAACATAGTCTGGAAGAACACATAGACTACTCTGTTTTTTTTAATTCCGCGCTGACGGAGTCGCGGGCGACAGCTAGTAATGATTAAAATATTACCACAAAAGGATTGTCAGCAAAACTGAGGATATCTCTCTCAGCGAAGGCCTGCTCCACTTGGTTCCTCAGGATCAGATTGTTTTTACTGATCTTCTTCATGGCATACCTAAAAAAACATTTAACTTCATATCATTATCTTAAATAAATCGAAATTGGCTAAATAATAATCTCTTATTAATTAAAAACTGTAAATTTAATTTTTCAAACATGTATTTAATTTGTAAAAGTAAATTTCCTGACCTCTGCCTGGTTAGTTTATGTTTGACGAGGTAGACAGCGCCGTACGCTCCGTTTGAGATAAGTTTGATGACGTGGTAGTCGTTCTCGGAGGGCGGAGCACCGCCAGGGGGCGCGCCCGGCGGTGACTGACGACCACGCCCCCTGCAATACAAATATATAATGTAATAGTTTCCTTTGGTCATTTAAAAATAAAACACATATAGTACACACATACAGCTGCTAAAAAAACTTTTTTTTTTAGATTTTGAGGTATTTTTTGTATCATGGTACCCATGTTATCGCAGTCGGGTACTCACTTGGAGGGCGAGGCGGAGTGCTGCGGGGGCGGCGGCGGCGGGGGCGGGACGTGCAGCTCGGCCAGCGGGTCACGTGACAGCCCCAGCTTGTGGATTATGTACTGCGGGATGTCCGTCGTTATGCCCTGACAATAAAACACAATATCTATACTCTCCAAACTTAAAATGTAACAATGAAATACATGCTGTAAAGACACACAGTGTAACAGTGTAATCGTGTAGCTGTGTAATATTGTAATTGTGTAATAGTGTAGCTGAGTAATGGTACCACTATGTAACTGTGTGTACACGATTGTGTAATAACTCACCTGCGACTGTCTCGCATGCCCCTCAGCAGCTTCCAGCAGGCGATAGAAGCGCTCGGGGTCAAACTCGAGACACTCGAGCAGACGTGCCGGCCGCGCCATCGCCAGCACCAGCCGCGTCACCAGTGGCGCAACCTGCGCTCCCGCCTCAGCTGACTTCTCACGAGTCTGATATAACACGGAATTAAGCATTTTATGGTAAAGTTGCCTAGGAGTATCTTTTAAGAAAAAGTTAAATGTTAGATTCTGAAATATATTAAAAAAAATACATATATATATTCGTAGAAAGCCCACCATTTGTTCACAATACAAAATTATTAACTAAAAAAACAATACGTTTGCTGAATATCCTCCTAAGTAATAGACCTTAAATATATTTATACCTATAAAGTTTTATATGATATGTACAAACTCACCTCAGCCAACAGCCTGTCCAAACTGTCCGCCATGTCATAGAAGTATGAGCTGGTCACCTGCTTGGACTCAGACTTATGTAAGCAGTCACGAGCCATCTCCAACACCTATTTACATTTTAAAATTATAGACCTTATAACTACAAAACATAGTCATTGCAATGGCAGCAAGTCTAATCCCTTCTAAGGATCTATCAACTCAACAACAACTGACCTGTCGTTGCACAAATCTCTCTATTGGTGGCCGGTCAGGCTTCTTGTCAAGTTCTGTCAACTCGTCGATAAGACCTCGCAATCTACAACAGATAGAAAAACAAAGAATACGTGTGAACGTGTATCGAGCTTTTTTACCTGTGTATATAATTTCGAACAAGTGTGTAATAACATTCGTGCAAATGTGTACGTGTTTGTAAAGTGTGTACAAAGCTTCGTGTATGTGTACACTTACTTATCGTCCATGTGTTTCTGTGCGGTGGGGAAGCGCGAGGCGAAGAGCGCGGACATGGCGGTGACGGCGTCCTCGCGCGCACCTTCCCCCCCTGACCCGCCCCCTGGTGACCGAGAAGGCGAACTGCAATATAAGAAAACAAAAACACATTAATAATAATTTTAAAATCATATAAATAATACACAAGTTTTGTCATTCTTAGACATACATAAGTTTAGTTTCGTCCTGTCATTTAATAAAACTATTCCCTTCTTTTTCTAACAGCGATTGTATTAAAAGTGGTAGTCTATTTTAAGGTAGCAGGAACTAGAATAAATTAAATACCTGAGACTGCGGCTGCGTACACGCTTAGGCGCGGGGCGGGGCGACGGCGCACGCGGGGCGTGGCCACTGCCCCCGCTGTCCGACAGCGACGCCCAGTTCATACCAGACCCCTGTGAGCTGCTGCAATGGAAGACCGTCATATCTTATTCCTTAATTCGTAATAATTTGTCCGTATTCATGACAAATACCAAGGCTGAAATCTACTTGAATTGAACCTTGTGAATTTTACATAACCTTTTCAATTATATTCGTTGATCAGGAAATTAGAAATTAATCAATTGATTTACCATATCTCGGTCATATTATTCACCTACTATCTGTCGCCTGAGACTCCGTTCGCGTGGAATTCAAAAATTAATTAATATCCTATGTGTTCTTCCAGAATATGTTCTACATCTATGCCAAATTTCAGCAAGATGCATTCAGATGTTCTGGAGATACCTTCTAACAAATATCCATCCATATATCAAATAATTTAGTAAGAAGTAGAATTAATCAATTTATATTTCAAAAACAATAGCAAATTAATATTTTACAGAATTACATTATCAAAATGTAGAATTTGCTTAACAAGATTTGCTCCAATAACGATATACTAAAAGCACTCTTAACCTATAAATAATACGGTTCAATAAATTCTGTATCGTCTCAAATAAATTTCATTTAATTGCACTATTATCGTTTCCGTTCGAAACTCCTCTTGACCTCCAACGAGGCTTAACTGCCTTCCGTATTTTCGATCAGGAAACATCTTCTTTCAAGGAACAAATAGCCAGATATTATCGCTCTTATTACCCAAGGAATAAGATCTATATTCGAGAAACGACATCAGTGATATAAATATACTTATTTTATTGACATTTCTAAGATATACAAAACTGTAAATAAGATTCTAAGAAATCATACTGAGAAAAACAAAATTTACTTTTTACTAATATTATAAATGCGAATGTTTAGATGGATGGATGTTTTGCTGAAATTTGGCATAGATGTAGAACATAATCTGGAAGAACACATAGTCTACTTATTGAAGTTTGTTTTAAATTCCATGCGGACGATGTTGCGGACGCCAGCGCAGACCTATAGCTTAACCCATACCTATATTTATCTATTCCTTTTTAATCTATTCCTAACTAGTGATACCGGTCCCTTGTTAGTAATGGTCACAAAACGACCAGTACCACTTTACCATAACTTCGACTGTAAAAAAGATACATTGAAACCAAGGAGTTCGTGACTTTGTTATGGCTGATTGACGACCTTCGGACATGAATACTAGTAGAAGAATTGACTTTATTTCCTATGTATCAAAGCCTAAATTTCTATAACAGGATCTAGGGTTGGACAATAGATCGTAGAACAACATACTCTATGTCATACGAAATAAGATTTAAACTTATTTAAATATTACTGCATATCGTATCTTAATTTGACAAGTGATGAAGCTAGACATTGTTAAGGAGAAGTATAGACTTTATGTCATAGGTAATAAGGTGTAAACTTACTTGAGCGAGTTCTGATGCTGTTGGCAGTGTGGGCAGGGAGCGCGCGGCGCTTCGTACGCGCCCTGCGCCGCCAACAGCCGCTCCTGGGACGAGCATTGCGACTGCAACATTGGAGAAACGCATACAGTGAATCTGATTGTTCTACGCTGATATAATACCTTACTAATATAATAAATGCGAATGTTTAGATGGATGGATCTCCCTGTAATTTGGTATAGATGTAGAACATAATCTGGAAGAACATATAGGCTACTAATTAATACCGCGTGGATGGAATCGCCGGCGACAGCTAAAAAATTAACAGCATCTAAACGTTCGCTTAGTGTTAAATTACCCTAGACATCCTTGCAAAGTTTTGCTATCTTTTATGAGTTCGAAGTAAACCAGAGACGAGGAAAAGGAAGTTAAAGGGAAATTGGGTCTTCTGTATATATTTATCAGAAAGACAATATGTCTTCAGAAACGCAATTATTATTGTTCAAGAAAGCTATAATCAATCGTCATAAGTATGCAACTTTCTTTTCAAGTGATAAATTCTTGAGCCAAATAATGCAAAGGAAATAAATCTTGTGAATTTCTACCATTGTGGTCAGTATTGCACATACTTGAAGTGTCTGTAAACCTCTTTAAATATTATAAAATCTTTAAGCGACAATAGCCTAATGGTTAAGGGTATGAATATCCGACAACGTGGTTGGAAGGTGGAATTCTAACACAAGCATAGAGATTAGTTGAAATAGTACAAGAAATATATGTAAATCAGCAACAAACTGTTAATATTAAAAAAAAACTAAATCTTGACCACTACGACGTTGTACAGTTTCGTACCGAGCATTTAAATATAATTCATGTTTAAACCGTCTCAAAACTCACGGACTGTACTCCTATTGCTTACTAAATAACGCCATAAATACTGCTTATCTGATTTAAACAACTGACGTTTGTAAATAGCCCAATGAATAAGGAAACATATGTTCTTACACAACTTTTCCTTCTATATTTACAAGCAAACGACTATACATACACTGTAACTTTTTGTTAGAGTTTTTACAATGTACAAAACTGTACAAAAACGTCATCCCTCAGAGGCCATTTAATAACTCTGAGTGACAATTAACTGTGCAAACTAGTGATACATCTCTTGACTCATTTAATTATGGTAACAAGTCGAAGAGAATTATTATATTTAAGGGCACTCTGCTTAAATGGGCATAACAAGATTGTTACAGACTATCCGAGCGCAACAGACCGGATGGGACCTTGACCTCAAATCTACCACTATTATTTTAACTCAACCAAATATAAGCATTTCTTCTATATATCATTAATAAAGAACTCCTTTAAAGATAAAATAATTTTAAATTCTTATGTCACAATGTTAGTTACCATACTCCTCAGAAACGGCTGGACCGATTTTTATAAAATTTTATATGCATATCCAATTAATCCCGCACAGAGTCACGGGCAACAGCTAGTAACTTCTAATAATATCACTTGTCAAACTTATTATCGTTTTATTTTATTAAAATATTAGCATATTTTTGGTAATTTAGTAATATTTGTTGTACAATTTCAACTAAGCTCTATGCTTGTGCCACGACATAATTTTCGACAAGAGTCAAATGGCGGGATTCGAACTCCTGACCAAGTGATCGGAAATCTAACCCTTAACCATTAGGTTATTGGCGCTTCCGTAAAATTGAAAACAGAAAAATAAGAAGCGTAACTCTATTTAAGATAAAGGGTGTATCATTTATCTTTTTTCGAATTAGGCTTTATCTACAATCTCTGCCTATCGATTTACGAGATAGAGTCTTGTTAAAAGATAAGTTTTTTTATATCATAAGGCAAACGAGCGAGCGGCCACCTAAAATCACTGAAATAGCGAAGTGAACGTTGCCCATAGACATACGCAATTGCATATGCGTTGCCTACCTTTAATCGACGGAAGAGAGGATGCACAGAAAGAAAATATTTTCCCATCCCATGCATCCTCTCATCCGGAAAGTCAACTTCCAATGCCCATCCTTTCCTTTTAAAATATAACACAATCATAGTTAACTATAATGAAGTATCCTACATAGGCGTGGTCGTGCATGACTTCACTTAACTTTAGGTACATATGAACTCATGTGTCATATTTGTAATATCATGAAATGTAAATATTAAGTACACCCTAGGGTGTCGCAGTGCCTTTGTACATTTTTAATTAAAAACAAACATATGAAAATATTAGCTAAAATACAATGAGTTTGGAATGTCCTGGACAGTTATGTATTGTTAGAAAGCAAAATCCGATACTGTGCCGATGTACTAACGCAACACTAGCTTTACTAAAATGTCGACGTCTATGTCCCCTCACTAATCATTCTGACGCTTGACTTAACGAAAGCACGTCATTCGCGCTAAAGGATTCTAATTAATAATGTCTAATAGTATAAGGTTAAATCCTTCAAAATATGGGTAGAAGTCTTCTGGATAATATTTGGGAATACGACCAATACAATTCAACATCTATGTGACGATTTTATTTAATACTAGCTGTCGCCCGCGACTCCGTCCGCATGGATATATAAAAAACTTAATTTGTTTAGCCCACCCCATCCATCGATCTAAACATTCGCATTTATAATATCAGTAAGTTAAATAAAAAGCAGCTCTTCAAGGCATAAATTCGAAAAAAAAAAGAATAAATACTATCCGATGTCCGTCTCCTGGCTCTAAGCTACCTCCTCACCAATTTTCAGCCATATTGGTAAAGCCGTTCTTGAGTTTGAAATAGTGTAACTAACACAATTCATGGACCTATAAACCATTAACCCAAACTTAAATTCTTTAACCGTTGGTTTCTGAGACCAAAATATTTGTATAAAACATATCATCCCTGTCATTATTATTGACAAAACAGAAATTAAAACATTTTTTTTTAAATTGGAATTGGTCTCAGAAACCAACAGTTAATAAATCACTGCATTTAATCAAAAGGAAGGTCTTATAAATAAGAAATGATGTCTAAAAGAAAACATTACGCTCGTCTTGCCATAGGTCATCACAGCCTCTCGTGTTTATCAACGCTTCGAGACGTTGATAACATCGCAAATTCTTGGACAGCTTTCAAGATCAAACTCCAAACTTTTTTAAAGAAAAATGAACTCTTTCCCAACTGTATAAAGTTGAAAATATCACAAACTACGTATATAACTTTGCACCAGACGAAAATATAAGTATGTAACACACCTGACGCGTTAAATATGCTAATTTACAATGTTTTCATTTTTAAAAAAAGTGTGCAAGCGATTTTCAACCACAACTGTATACTAATAAGAAAATCACTTCAATAATAACCTCAAGGGCTTAAACAAATTCAACATGCAAGAAACCCGTACTTAAAATTAGGGTCGCTACACACATTCTGAAGGCACTGTTTAAATTTTACACATATTAATTACAGTAAATATAAACAGTCCACCTACAACGTAATAGTAAGCAAAATGAATCACGTACATTCCTGCCAATCGGAGCAATTAACGCCAAATGCAGTAAACTACCGGCGCTGGGCCAGGAAGACAACCGTCAATCGCTTTCACATGAACGGCCATGAAATTATTTTCCACATTAATGTACAAAACATTTTTTTTAAAATTAAAGTATAAAAAGTTCCTAATTATTCAATTAAAACTTACATTAATTGCGAACGCAAGTGACGCACTGGACGTAGGAAAAAGTCGTAGCTACGTAATATTAGGGAGTGGACGGGGATTAGGTCAGCAGAGGAACTGTTTCGCCTTGCGCTTGACAGAACCAAATATTCCAAGTTAGCGGCCAACCTTCAAGACTGAAGAGGGACTAGAAGAAGATCTTACTAATGTAAATGCGAATATTTGGATGGATATCCATCAACAAACCATCCATTTATCCCCCAAGTTCGTTGTCTTATCTTTAGTCACAATACAATATTTATTGGTAATGTTTAAATTACAGGTCAAAGAGCGATTTACAAAAAAAAAGTATTTTTTTTTTACTGTAAAAATTGTTCGTACGAATACCGAGCTCTCTCTACAAGCACTGATTTCAAACTATTTTGAATGATGTTTACATTTGCTACAAAATCTGTTTCTTTTTATTTCTTAAAAATAATCGAACAAGCAAGCATACCGTACGTGAGAGTCCAAGGGACCGCTTTATTTGTCTCGCTTATAGAGGTTTCTCTCTAACCCGTGTTTCTGGCTTATAGAGATTTTCCGTCCGGACCGGACAGAGACTCGCTTATAGAGGTTTCTCGCTTGCCCAGTTCTGACTTATCCAGCTTCTACTGTTACTTTGACATAAAACTAGCTGTCGCCTGCGACTCCGGCCGCGCGAGATTATTCAAAATAGATAGTAGCCGATTCTTAGTCCTACTAAATATATATATATATAAAATGTCATAAAAATCGGACAGATAAATGAAACAAAAAAGTATTATATAGTTGGTTTCGCACGTGTTAAACCACCAAACTAGTGAAGCTGTAAAACCGCTAATCTCGAAGCCCGACGTGTAGGTGCATTGACTGAGCGGCCGATAAAGTGATTGTTCCGCTACTTACTATCGGAAATCGTCAGCGAGGTGTAGTGGAAACTACCGCTAAAGATATCAGTGGAAATAACTAAACAATATTTATTGATAAGGACAACAAACAAACGGAGACGTTTCATTGTCTTAAGGTACGCGTCCATTGGCCCGCGCCGGACGCACCGCACGCACGGATTAAACGGATTTGATGGACGCAGCGCTATGTAAAATCAAAATCAAACTTCATTCCATTGCGGGCCGTCCGTGCGTTGCATTTATCGCGAGCCAATGGACGCATACCTTTAGTACACAATATGAAAGGTAACATGATTATAAATCTAGGACTCTAAAATGACGATAAATAAATTTGCAGGACTAAAACCTAACGACAATTACACATAGAGTAAAATAAGGATAGAGAGATGAGTCGCATTAGGGTTGGCCTGTAGTTTAATCAAGTAAGGTAAGTTATGTAAAACCTGACATGTGTAGCCTGCATTATATATTAACATGAAGTTGATACTTACTGACAGGCTGGAGCTGCCTGGAGTGGTGCCGTACCCTGACGACGGCAGCGACGCCACTGACCATCTTCTGCCATCTCTGTACAAATGGAAAATTTATGGTCAAAACAGATTATAAACACATCAAAAGCACCGGCAATATTCAGTCGGAATAACCGATAGTCGACTTTAGTTGCTAATGATGACGTCATCTACGTTTATTACGTCATCAATCAATTGTATAAATCTAAGTACATTTTAGAAGTTATATACTAGTAATGTACTTGATATCATGAATAAAATGTTACTAATATTATAAATGCGAATGGTTAGATGGATGGATGGATGTTTGTTAGTAGGTATCTTCAAAACGGCTCAATAGATCTCGATAAAATTTGGCATTAATATAGAACATACTCTGGACGAACACATAGATTACTAATTAAGATATCTTTAACTAGCTATCGCCCGCGACTCCGTCCGCACGGTATAAAAAAAACTAGCCTAGCCTATGTGTTGTTCCAGACTCTATATTTATGTCAAATTTCAGCGAGATCCATTGAGCCGTTCCGGGGATACCTTCTAACAAACATCCATCCAACTTTATCTGAAAAACTTATTTAAATAAAGAGAAAAAAGATTCCGTACCCCAACGTCCCTGATCCTCATGTTAGGGGAACGAGAGGGCGGCATAGTGCCGCCCAATAAAAAACAAAAAAAAAACAAACATCCATCCATCTATACATTCGCATTTATAATATTAGTAAGATTCTACGCTCGTGGAGTCACGAGTTGCTAATCCTCTATAAAACAAAATCAAACATTTGACACATCCATTAAAGCTATCTAGATATGAAGAGTTCAGTCATTTTAATAAATTTTATCTGATATGCACATTTTATGCGAAAACACTGCGTCAATATGACTGTAGATAAAAGCTAAAAGTAGCGGAAACAATGACTGTATTAAAATTATTGGGAAGTTTACGTGTTTTATGATGCATTTACATTTTAAGAATTAATGCATTGGTTTTTGAGACCTAAATCTCATTTTTTTTATTTATTTATTTAAGCACGACCACAACATATATATATAACACACATACAACTTATCAATTAAATAGTATTAGATCTTATACATATGTATATAATAGTGTACCTACATAACGTTGACAGAGGTATTTATTTAGGTAGTAGTTTAAGGTTTTGGAAATTATTATAAAATAGATTTTTTTTTCTATTTAATTATTCTATTGATTAAGCATACTGAAATAAGTTTTAATATTTTTTTTAAAGAGTTAATGTTCTCTCTCTCTTTATATATCATCATTCATGTCATTATGTTTTACAAAACAGGGATAACAATATGTTTTAAACTGGGAAATAAGTCTCGGAAATCCACAGTGAATCATTTCAAATACCTCTTGGTATTAAAATTAAAGAATATACAATTTATGTTTCCCTTTCGGCCGATCAGACTCACTAAATGAGAAAAAACAAGGGTATATGTTTTTGGAGATATGTTCACAGCGGGAACTTACTTCAATGGTTCATCCAAAGAACTACATTGTTGGAGATTTATTTATATACTAGCTGTCTCGACTCTGTCCAAGCGGAATAAAAACATAATTAGTAGCCTATGTTCTTCCAGACTATGTTTTATATTTTATCGAGATCCGTGCCGTTATGGAGATACCTTCAAACATCCATCCATCCTTGTGTTTCTTCCTTCAAGCAGATGTTTAGTATTGTTCCTACGATTACTTAACATTGAGTCATTAACTTATGTATAATAATTGCATCTTATCTTAGTAATCACGATAATATCATATTTAAATACGAATTATTTTTACTTACATATCCTTGTTTCTATGGCACAGACATGAAAATTCATACGTAACATAATTTACAAAAAGATTTAAAAAAATCACCAGCCAGCATAAAATTTCTTTACCAATTCTCTTAAATCTCAACATTTACAAAGAAAATTCTGGAGAGGAAATTAAAAAGGAGGGAAACCTACATTACCATCGTCTCTATTTAATGTGAATGTGGGAGACAACAATATATTTATTCAAGTGCTTCTAACTATCCTAGTTCTTATTAAAAATTTTACATCATTTATGTGTTCATTCCTATATACATATTAAATGTATTTACCAGTGCAGTTAGCGTAGGTGTCCCGCACTGGCGAACATCAGACTAACATTTGTCTGATAAAAAGTTGACATTTTCTGGAATGTTCGCGTAATCTTTGCCACCTACGCTAAATTACGATAGAAATAAATTCGACGCATACACGAAAAGAGTTACATCTCTAATTAGAATCCTTAAGATGTAACTTTATTCATCAAATATGTAGTGTGAATTTTTGTACGTACTTTTTTTTAACGGAAAACTACAGCATGGATTTCCCTTAAGTAAATAAATTACTGTATATACCTATCGTAATTAAATAATAAATAAACGTATACATTTTCCAATAAATTCGTAACCGTTAAAATAAAAACAATACGAAAAAAAATACAAACTAGACATTGCAATATGCACCTTAAACCAATACAAATAAAGGTCAGGGAAATCATTACAAAAACAAAACATAAAATTCAAATTTTATTATATGCATCATTACTACGACACACGTACAGTCTCGCAAACAAGTTCAATGTAGCAATTTTAATGATGTTATAATAAAAACAGGTCACGAAATATTAAGTCATCGTCATGCTACAACACAATTTTGCATTGATATACACTAAGTTCCGTGTTAACCCACATTGAAAAAGATTTCTATCCTGACTGACTACATCCATGAGATCCTAAAGCAAATGTTAAATCAGGAATTAAAGGAACTCACAAGAGAAGTAACTCTTTTCGTCGGATGGAATAGTGTATTTAGCATACTTACATCTCCTTGCCGCGTTTGACGCTAGACGACAAAAGAGCGTGATGCAGAGGATGGGCGTGGTGAGCGTGCGGCCAGCGCGGGCCCTCCGCCGGAGACAGTGGACCCGTGCCAGGGGAACTGCACCGTCCTGAACCCACCTGTAAAAAAATAGACTGATTTAAATTTGAACTCAATTCCTGACGTCAATTAAAACCTTTTTTCCACTAGCCCGACTAGCAGCATAGGAAGATTACGACTGCTATTCCTTTGGGTGCAGTACCATTGGCAGTAGTCGTGCATGGCTAGTTTCTCATTCTTCAATAATATACCCACGTAGCAATTGCTGTCGTTGCACAAAACTGTATATCGATTACTCATCAAAGCACAGTAGCCTCGTCTGAGTGTACTCATAATAACCACTTACATAAACATCAATATTTCTCTTTACAAAGTTCAAAGAGATTTTAACTAAGCTATGATTAACTACGTCATAGTACGTCAAGAAGCGATTAGGCTTCCTTTTCCAATTCCTTTTTAGTACTATTTAAAGATTCAGTATTTTTCAGGTTTATAAAAGATCTTTTCTTTATCTTTTTTCTATTAAAAAAAAAACAATAAAAAATTAGAGCACTGCCACACATCACAAAAATACCTTCCATACAAATAATTTTATCTCATTACATAAAATTGCATGCTTTTGCCCGTCACCGGTCGAAAAACAAAAGACCCGGGTCGAGAGTTCGCCGAACTGTAGACCAACCATGGCTGAACCTGTCCTTGCATATTGAACCCTCTCTTTCACGCACAGTGCGATCTACATCCAGAAATATATGTACAGTCAGCTGCATAAATATGAATACATTTACAAAGCTTTAGAAAATTTTGTACGCTTTCAGTTTTAAAAACATGTATACAAGTATCGGTCCGTGTGTTCCGATCATAAGTACATACTCTTAACGAATCTCGCATAAGTATTTTTGAAACAGACAACCTATACAAGTTTCTAAACTTTCAAAAATATACACATATTTAAGCAGCCGACTGTACACTCTAGTTAGCTCCTAACCTAGCCTCTAGTCGCTTGATTATAGCACACAGATATACAGGCAAAGCAACGTAGAGTTCACTCCGTGTTCATCATCAGATTATGAGTCAAAAGGTTCGTTCATTACTCGATAGTCTATTGTTTCGCTTCGGTTTCATTCGCAGTAGTGTGTTAGAGGCTTTGGTAATAGGTTAAAAAACGCAAAATATACATCGCAAAACTGATATAACTTATCAAAAGACTCGAAACACTTGAGTATTCACGCCACTCTGTGATCAGTTCTTGTCCATACCATATTTCACTCTCTCATATATTTTCACTAGCTGCCACCCGCGACACTTTCGTATTTAGAAAAATACTTAATAAATAGCTTGTGTTCTTCTAGACTATGTCTTACATCTGCCTTTCATCAAAATCCGTTGTGACATTCCGAATATACCTTCCAACAAACATCCATCGATCCATCTAAACTTTCGCATTTATCATATCAGAGTAAGATTTGAGCTCTACAAATCATGTATCTTTAGAACTTTGGGTAATTTGTTACCCATATCTCTAACTAATCACATAATATGTTTTTGTTAGGGTCAAACACCTATTGTTTTTATACAACATACGATTATTATGCGATTAGCAAACGGCTGTGTCTGTTTAAAATTCATTAATACTGACCTTATCATTTGACCCACACATTATGTATTTGTTTTTAATATTTATACTATACAATACATGCAAAACATATATAATTTATACTAACTGTCGCTTAGATCCGTAGGAAATTAAAAAAAAACTTAATTAGTAGCCTATGTGTTCTTCCATACTGAGTTCTACATCTAAGCCAAATTTCATTAAAATCTATTTAGCCGTTTTAAAGATATTCAGTAACAGACATCCATCCATCTAAACTTTTGAATTTATAATATTAGTAAGATTTAGCTCCACGCGATTTCTACTACCAAAGGATAATAACAAAAAACATTTTTGTGTTTTTAAAGATCATTGGTATAAAGGATCTAAGAGAGGTGTAATAAAAACGTTGATTTATTCCTAATTAAGTTACGTATTTCAAAACTTTTACTTTGTAATAACAATCTCTTCTTCTTCTATGTATAATATAGTTGTATAATATCTGAGTATATCAGCCATGTTATCGACTGATTTGTTAAATCTTTGTAGCATCCTCGAGACGTATTCAATGATACTCGTAACAAGCGCTCGCTTAACCATACATTTGACGTTGCTAAACTGCTAAAAATTTTACAAAAAAACATAACTTTCTAATATTATCTTACTAATATCATAAATGGGAATGTTTGTTACAACGTATCTACAAAACAGCTGCTTGGATTTCGATTAAATTTGGAATAAATATAAAACATAGTCTGGAAGAACACATAGGCTACTATGTTTTTTTAGTTCCCCGCGGACAGTCGCGAGCGACAGCTAGTATTGTAAATCAATATTAAACGTGGTTACATAAGAATTGACGAACCTAATAATCAATCCTTTCGCTTGAAACCGAAGATTATTTAACTTAGTATAAACTTTATCAATCTCGATTACTTTAAGCGACTTATATTGAATAATATTGCTACCCGTAAGTCGAAAAATATTAAAGCAAAAGGATTAAAAATACTCTGTTGAGCAAAAAATGATTCGGGATTAATTAGAATTCGGCCGATAATAAATCGTACGTGACTTATTTCTTCATCTAAACAAACAAAGTTGAAGAGATATTTGTCAAGTCTGAAAAGACGCACGTCATATTAAAAATAATAAATAAATTAACCATTTAGACTGGTTTTGCCACAGAGCAGCGTTATACAGTTATCCAATGATCTACAGCCAAGAAAAACATCATTATAGAGTAGCCAAGAACAACATAATTAAAGCTATCCGCAGCCAAAGTTCTCACGGGAATAAATGTGACATATTTCAATGTGCATCCAACGAAAATATTATATCGAAAATCGTCAACAGTAAGATCTCATTAGAGATATAACTCTTTTCGTCGAATGAAAAGAGTTACTTCTATTTCGAGATATTTACGTAATTTACTCTGTATAAACAAATAATTTCCTTTTATAATAATAGCATAGAAAAGTTGTATATTCATATCCAACGCAGGCATTGCCTCGGGCTAAGATTGTTGTTGACATAAAGGTCAACAGAGTTCCAAGGGGAACATTGGAAAGGAGGAAGGGGAGGGGAACGCGAAGGGTGGGGAATGCATTCTCGAGCGGGAAACGGGGAGGCTCGTAAACTATTGAACTCAATCACGGGCCCTTCGCTGTGGGAAAATTTCCAGTACATCGCAGTGCATTGTTATATTTTAGTATTTTATTGAACTTTATTCCATTGGGATAAAGTTTAAATTATATGTTTCTGCAGGATACTGATGAGTTAAAAGGGGGTCTTAAGTAATAATAACGTAGATGTAAACTGTACCCTTAAAGCAATGCGTTATTATTTAAAGGGTTGGAACAAAAGGGTGCATTTTTAACTTATAGAGAATATTTCTAATGAATATATTATTGTGTAATGTAGAAGTCTGTTAGTTCAGTTCGACAAGATTACGTACAAAATATCACTAAGTAATAACACACTAGCTGTCGCCCGCAACTCCGTCAGCGCAGAATTAAAAAAGTTAATAAGTAGTCTGTGTTCTTCCAGACTATGTTCTACATCTATGCCAAATTTCATCGAAATCCGTCCATCTAAACATTCGCATTTATAATATTAGTTAGAGAGTTAGAACTAAGAAAACTTCGCCTTGATTAACTAAAACTCCTAAAATCCTGATTAATATAATCCTAAGCATAAGTTAAATCTATAATTACTAAGTACAAGAAATTAATGGTTACACATCGACCTTGAACTGTAATTTAACTAATCGTAACGCACGTAAAAACCACAAAATTTGCAATTTATTAACTATTACAAATAAACATGAATCAACAACAATAATACGCAAGAAAACAACCAAATATCTTAAACAACTGCGTAATATTTAATTTATCTCCATAGCTTTCCTAGGCCAATACAATTGCCATCTCTCTCATCATTCATAAAAAACTTGTGACAACAATCTATTTCACCAGTCAAAACATATGTCATTTAATTGAACAACGAAACTATCATATTTTTAACCAGCAGTACTTCAAAACTAATTTAAGAACAAAAAAAGCCATAGAGTGGAATGACAAACATTTTGCGAGTTAAACAAATATACTCTTACTTTTAGTTACCTAATTGATTCGGTCAACATCGTCATGAGTCTGTGAAAATAATGGAAAGTAACACGTGAACAGAATCTCGTTATGTACTCAACAAAAGATATACCTAAGAAAAGGAGAAAGAATACTTATTAAATAGTTGTAAGATTAAAAAAAAAATATTCTTTAATTAAATATTTTTATACAAAACGCCAAGGAAATAACAGTGTATTCGTTTTGCATTCCGTTCCTTGTCCTATAAGAAAGATATTTGACGAAGAAAAAGATGCATAGGAACGGAAAATACCCTCTTTCTGTGCGTCTTCTCCTCGGTCGGGTAAACTTAAGCAACGCATCTGCAATTACGGATGCCTATGGGAAGCGATCGCTTCGCTATTTCGGCGAATTCCTGATCTTTCGCTCTTTTACCACCTTATAATATGTGAAAAAACCTTATATATTATGATACTATTAACAAGTGACTTACCACCAACGATAGCCTGTGATGTGGCGGAGGGGGTGGCAGCCGGGACGGGCGTCGCGACACAGCACATTGTTCCTTCTGTACACAGACATACAACAATCAAATTATTATACTAGATGTGGTACAAATTGGCAGAGATCTTATATTATGACGTCATCATGTAACTCACTACGCTGGCCCAGTTCGGATAGGTAGAAATCTTATATATCTACTTACCAATTACCAAGACACCTTACTCATCTAATAAATATTATAAATGCGAAAGATGGGTGGATGTTTGTTGAAAAGCATCTCTAGAACAGCGCAACGAATATCGATGAAATTTGTCATAAACGTAGAACATAGTTTGGAAGAACTTACCACATGGACTGAGAGCGCCGGGGCAGATTTGCCAAGTGCTGACCTGCGCATGCGCAGGAGATTACTTCGCAACCCCTTACTGGCATCTGTTGGCGAAAGAAACAAAGCATTAATTATATTGAAACTTAGCAAGCTATAAACAATTATAGATAAATCTTATACTTTTAATGAGAGTGTAAATGAACCCGTATAAGTGTTCATTTTCCCTGTCAACCCTTTCATAATAAGTACATAGATAAGAAGGGGACAGGGAGATAGATTAGACGGAGGACTAAAAAAGGACATTTACTTTTTCAGTTGATTCTCTTCAATGTGATACTACAGATAGGAGGCGATAGTTTTAACACAAAATATATCTACTAGCTATTGTAACGCCTTAGAAAAACATATATGTAATACACATATAAGAGATATCAATTGTATTTTCGCTGTACGCGTCATAGTTTAGGACACACCTACACCACACCTGAAGTATATGTTCATAAATACAATGTAACGTTACAATTATAATAACAAGCTTTAAACGAATGTTCCACCCACATATTTAATTAAAAAATATGACTTAACATGTAGGTAATAAGAGTGAGTTGCCATAACCGAAATATATAGCATAGCAAAACTTTTTACGTCTGTGTCCCGTAGCGATGTTAGGGCTGAGCAAGGTGGGGCGGGGCGACCGCCCAGGGCGCCGGACGTAAAGAGCAGGCGCCAGAGTCGGAGTTAAAGGGGCGCCTGCAGTGCTCCCTAACTTTGGAGAGATTTCCCCCGACACAAAAAAATAGAACGCCACAAAAATTTGGCCCAGGGCGTCGGAAATTAGTCGGCCTTGTATATGTCGATAAAAAATTGTATCCACAAAGTTAAAGAAACAAGCTATAGAGAAAACTATAAGATTGCGATGAAATTGGAACAACGCCAGACACGGCTAGAAATCTTTCCGCCCAAATAACTTTGACAATATCCGCTGACAATTCAATTAATTCACCACAGTACGAAAAACAACTATTCTAAATTACGACAAATTCCATTTATCAAGAAATCTATATGACGTATAATAATTTAAAGATTTTAAGAGTGAAATGCTACAATTTATTAAATTCAAAAGAAGATTTTAATACGGTAAAAGAAAACATCGTGATGCAATCTGTATCTGCGAAGAAATTCAAAGATATGTGTGAAGTCAACCGGCACTAAGCCAGCGTGGTCGACTATGGCCTAGTCAAGCCTAACTCAGGTCAGGATCCAAGTCCTTCTATGGAGACATATAATAAGCTGATGATGAAACTAGGATTTACATAAGTATCACAAAAAAAACATCAAATTTATCAAATTATATGCAAACATTCGTTAAAATGTACACAAAAACATCTATCACTTTAGGACGACCTCGTAAAAAGTAAAAAAAAACATGTTTTTTCCATCCAATAGTAATAATAAAAAATAGTAAGTTTTACTACTTAAATCTCATCTATCTAAGTAAATTACATGGGTATATACTTATCACGGTTACAAACTAAACTAAGTTATCTCTAAGTGAGCCAAGGTGAAAAGCTGCTGAGTGAACCTGACCTTAATTACTTACTACATAGAGTCCATTAAGCATGGCAAATTGCTCGCCTTAAGACAAACGTTAAACGCTGCCGAGTAAATATGACCTTTATCACAATGGAGTACAGTCTATATATCCAAGCACGTTGCAATCCTTTAGATGTAAACTGCCGAGGGAATATGAACCTTATCACAAGGGAACAAACACACTTTAGGATGTGGTCATGTTACTATGAATCACGACTTAATATGGAATCGCTTCGATGCATTGATGCACATTATATTACAACTGTATATCTAAACTAGGTGAACAGTACAGTAAATATAAATTCTAACGTGAGTTTTCATTGCCAATAGACCTATACAAGTGATCCTTATAGATAGGTCAATGGTTGAAAACGACCGCGTTTGATTCGTTCCGACTTAAACGCGCCTGTTGATGTTCGGTTAAAATCAAAATGGCACAAAATATAACAGCTGATAGCCTATCCATGTATAGAGGTCAGCAACCTAATACATATTATGTCAAGTTTTTCAAAGAGTATAAGAGGAATAAATAAGGGGATAGACAGAGACCGGGGACTTCCACTTGGCACGGTTTTGACGCACTTCTCTCGCTTTATCTACATTCAAACAACTACATATACAAGCACGTTGGTTTTATAACTTTGTGCTTACAATTTAACTTAAATGTGAAGACTTAAATTGCAATAAATATAAACATAACTCATCATCTGATGATGATGAGTTATGTTTATATCATCATCAGCTCACTATACGTCCCCACCGAGGGGCACGGAGCCTACACTAGGTTAAAGGTGATTACGTCATAGTCAACCACGCTGGCCAAGTGCGGGTTGGTTGACTTCACGCATATTTTTGAATTTCTTCTTAGATATGTGCAGGTTGCATCACGATGTTTTCCTTCACCGTGAGAACGTCGGATAAACGTACATATGTAAATCGGAAATCGAAAAACACATTGGTACATGGCGGGATTCGAACCCAGGACCTGCAGATTGCAAGACAAGTGCTTGACCACTGAGCCACCGACGCTCTTAACAACATTAAACATAACTATTATAATCTTATTAAAATGAGAAATACATCTCATTAATATAGAATCAATATTTTAACACTTGGTATTTAAATAAATTACTTTACAGTAAAAGATGACACAATCTTTAACAATGTATTCGAAACTATTGTTACAAAACTTTGGCTTTCGACATTTTACATAATGGTGGTTGCATAGACTATGTAAAATATAGATATAAGAGTCAAAATATACCTAGAAAATATTGCCAAATGCCATTGCCATTTACACATTAACAAAAGTCGAATTAATACTGTTATTTTTTTATATTATAAGGTGGCAAACGAGCGAGCGGCCACCTGAAATCGCTGAGATAGCGAAGTGACCGTTGCCCATAGACATACGCAATTGCATATGCGTTGCCTAACTTTAATCGACGGAGGAGCGGATGCACAGAAAGAAAATATTTTCCCTTTGCAAAGCTATTAATTTTATTTCTATTACCGTGGATTTCTGAGGCCGAAATCCCCGTTTAAAACATATTAACGATATGTTTTATACAAAGATATTCGTGTTAGAAACCCATGGTTAGTTATGTTTTTGATTAAGGATAAATTGGAAATCATAATTAGATTTACTATGAAATTATTTCGCTCATTTAATTAAGGACTCGATTTTTGGCTCGTCTTGACACACGCAACTTCTAAAAACATTTTTTTAAAATATTGTTTATAACAACTGCATAGCATCCTTATAGTATGCGACCAATTTAATTAACCTACCATATCTTGATCGTCTTATCTTGATTTTGGTGATAAGTCGTTAAACACTGTTGCTACTACCCTAAAGCTAAACTAAATCATAGTTTACAGACGTACAAAACCTGGCACTTCCAGATTTACATAGAAATAGTATCACGTGGGCTAATTCGGCTTCCGTCCAAATGCTCATGTTGTTTACGAGTTTTTACCACCTCTCCTCCCACTTCCCACTCACGTGCCACCTATTCCTAAGCACGTGAGACCACATCTCACTAATCTTACTAATATCATAAATGCCAATGTTTAGATAGATAGATGGATGTTTGTTTGTAGGTATCTTAAGAAAGGCTGAACGGATCTAGATGAAATTTGGCATACATATAGAACACAGTATGGACGAACACATATGCTGATAATATTTTTTCAATTCCGGGCGGAGTCGCCGTCGAGCGCTAGTATATAGATAAAACAGAAATCTTTCTATACAAAACCAAATGTACTAGGAGAGCATAAATCAATGTGTGATATAAGCTCGACTTTCACTATCATGAGGCCGTGTGACGCGAAAGTATCGCGCGTTAGGGACCATATTGTAATTAACCAGGTCGACATGGGCTCGATTAGTCAATTGTAGGCGTACGCCTACCATTATATCTAGTAGATCAAGCTTATATTAAGAACAAATAACATCATACAAATTCATATTAGTCAAATTTACTGTTTGTTACTACGTATCTACAAAACGGTTTAATAAATTTTGGCATAGATGTAGAACATAGTCTAGAAAAACATATTATCTGGGATAAATTCCTTTTTTTATTACATATTTACACGATAACTCCACAAAGGTCCTAAATATCTTATTGAAACTTGGCATAGATGTAGGAACATCGTCTTAAATAACGCATAGTATACTCATCCTTTTTTTGATTTAATTCCACGCGGACGGAGTCGCGGGCAAAAACTATATAACACAACTCTTCAGTCAACTTCTTTTGTTAATTCAAGTACCTTTAATAATTAATAATTTAAGGGGTTTATTTTAAAATCTACTAATAAAATGGTCTCTTAAGCTTTAGTGTATTCGTCACTTAGTAACCGTTAATAAAACTTAATTGATAAATAGTAGAATTATGCCCTAATTGACATATCTTACTAATATTATAAATGCGAATGTTTAGATGGATGGATATTTGAAGATATCTCTGGAAAGACCCAACGGATTTTCATAAAAATTTGGCATAGATGTAAAACATAGTCTGGAAGAACACATAAGCTACTTACTACTTTTTTAATTCCGCTCGGACGGAGTCACAGGCAACAGCTATTCCTTATACAAATGATTGGTTAATCTCAATATCAAATAACATGGTTACCCTAATACCTTTATCTATGTATTTTACACAATGGATATTCATTTTGTACGTTATCAGAGAAACTTCTTTAATAAAAAATAACTCTCCGCTTCGCTGTAGGCGCTTATTTTTTTTAATAAATGGTCCGGGATTTTGAAGGGAAATTGAAAATACAATTTTTATTAGAACGATAAAAAAACTCGGGTTACGTAAAATATTGCTAAAAACGATGCTTCAAATATTGACAAATTTAATTAATATTTTAGTTGATATAGCTTTGCCCTACGGTTTTACGCGTAGTAGTCCCCCTTTTTTTGTATCGGGGGGGGGGGGGGGGGAATCTTCGTCAGATACCCTGCCTTTTGGGGGAAAGACAGAGTTATGTG